ATGTCGGAAGGCAGTCTTTGTCCGTCCAGCACGCTCTCAGTGTGACAGTGTGTCCGTAGAGCCAAGGGGCCAGCCCTGGCTGCGCCTATGCAGCGTGGAGCCATGCCAGCCCTTTCCAGCAGATGTTTGCGCCATGTCTGGCATTGTCCAGCAAATCCTTCTAGGCCGTTTGCGTTTGCGACCATCGCAGTCAGACCCGCAATCACCATCTCCTTCGTCGATGCAGCCCTTTGGAGTTGGAGGGAGAATGATGCCTGAAGTTATGTCCAGTGCCTAGTGCTCCAGCTGTCTGTTCTAGTCGTCCTCCAAGTAGCTGCGCGAGACTGCGATTAGACGTGGCGCCCAAGAAGTCTGCCACACGAACCAGGTTTGCCAAGCTGGACGCAAACATGCTTTAGCACAGCAAGTCCAAGCATAGCTTGAGAGCTGTACAGATTCACTTCATTTCCAAGTAGGTGTGCAACAGGGCTACAAGACCCGATGCCCCGATAGTGAGGACGTGTCTATATAGTCGCGTTTGTGAATTGAGCCATCGGTCGGCGCAGCAAGGCGCACACCGCCCCCCATGGCAACAGGACCAATGCGACATCAGCAGGTATTTGTTGATCTGCCGCCCTGCCAGTGTTTCCGCAGCAGGCCATCAAGGGAGGCAAGTGCAGCTTGACGCCGCGGAGCCAATCTTTTGCGGAACAAGTGCACTGCTAGGGACAAGCTTAGCTTGAGAGCTGTACAGATGATGAGTTTGGTTCCAAGCAGCTGTGCAAGAGGCCGACCAGACAAGATTCCCGAGCACTGAGAAGTTGGCTTTGGCCGCCAATCTTGTGAGCTGAGTCAGGCGCCCTGGGGGTGCTGTCGCCACATTGCCAACGTGAGCACCGCCCCAGCAGGGCATTTGTCCTCTCAGCCATGCTTGTTTTTCCGAAGCCTCCCGTCTGGTCGGAGGCGCGCGTAGCTTGCGGGTGTTAAATGTTGTTGTGCCATTCGCTTGCTCAACAGGTCCCTTGCCCAGGGACAAGCATAGCTTGAAAGCTGTACAGATTCACTTCATGTCCAACTAGCTGTGCAAGAGGGCTACAAGACCCGCTGCCCCAGCAGTGAGGACGTGACGTTAGTCGCCACGTTTGTGAATTGAGCCATCAGTCGGCGCAGCAAGGCACACACCGCCCGCCCCCCCATGGCAACAGGACCAATGCGACATCAGCAGGTATTTGTTGACCTGCCGCCCTGCTAGTGTTTCCGCAGCAGGCCATCAAGGGAGGCAAGTGCAGCTTGACGCCGCGGAGCCAATCTTTTGCGGAACAAGTGCACTGCTAGGGACAAGCTTAGCTTGAGAGCTGTACAGATGAGGTTGTAGCTGTGCAAGATGCTCACCAGACACGATGCCCGAGCCCTGAGAAGTTGGCTTTGGCTGCCAGTCTTGTGAGCTGAGTCATGCGCGCAGCAGGCTCTGGGGGTGCTGTCGCTGCTACATTGCCAACGTGAGAACCACCCCAGCAGGGCACCTGTCGGGCTCCCAAGCAATCTGCCGTTAGGGCTTTGAATTGATTGGCGATTCTCCCGTGCTGCGTTGCCCGCGCATGCTTGTGAGCTGAGTCGCATAGTAGGGGAGCCGTCCAGTGCATAAGGAGAAGCTTGAGAGCTGCGCAGTCAGCCTTGGCGGCGCTTACACAGCAGGCCGAGCTCTTGGACCCAAGCTTTGGTTTTTGTTGTGTCCACTACCCAGTTCTGAAGTTGTTGGTGCCATGAGGACTTAGACTCAGAATTGATTGTGGGCGTGGGTGCCGAGCCGTGAGCGCAGTAGGCGCCGGGGCCTGGCAACTGCGCGGTGTGAGGACCACGCCACTGTGCTTGTCAGCGCGGGCCATCAGGCTGGGTGCAAGCGTAGCTTGAGATGTCCTCGCGCCTATCTCTTGCGCGACCGTGCTGAGCACAAGCGAAGCTTAAGAGCTGCGATCTCTATATGGCTATGAACTTTAATGAATGGGGGACCCCCTGAAAAGTGATTGGTGGACATAAATCCCAACCTAAACGATGTCCACCCTAGGGTCCCTAATCAAAATTCATAGCCATATAGATTCAGTGTAGTTTCTAGTGGCGTAAGCGTGCCGAGTCCGTTGGGCCGACCCGCGGATCTTTTCTTGGACGTTTGCTGCAGCAACTCTCATGAGAAAAGTTGCCGTTTGGACAAATGAGAAAAGCCGCCATCTCGATTTCGAACAAATCCCCAAGCGTCTGACTTGTAAAACAGACGCTTTGCAAAAAAACGCCGTTGACTCAATACATACTGTTTTCTGCCTGAGCTGCTCCAGCCTTTTGCAAGAGTTGAAGATATGGTATGCCTGAGCGACGGTTCCTTGCAGCTGCCAGCAGTTGGGGCAGCGTTTGCCGCAGTATCGTTTGCAGTGAAGCATCGATTGGGACTCCGAGACCAGCGGAGAGCTTCAGAGAATGAGGTTAGAGGTTGGTTTCCCAGCATGTCACTCCGATCCAAAGATGAGTTGCAGTTGACTCCTGCCTGCCAAAGCAACTGATGCCCAACACTGTCAGAAACATCAATTGCGGGTGTGTGATGTATCAGTTGCTTTACGCAACATGGGGCGGCACACTGTAATCGGACAAGGCGTGCAAGTTAGCACTTCTCCAGCACTCCGAGATGCGCCAATGTCAGAGGTTCGCCGCACTTGCTCACCCATGCAGGGCACGCGTAGCTTGAGATCTCGTGCCAAACAGATTCAAACTCCTGCGCAGTAGTCCCAGGACGTAGAGTGCTCCAGCACTAAAATCCGATTTGGCTCCAAGCAACTGTGCCGGACACAGTGGTTGGTCGATCTCCAGCCCCTTTGGCATTCGAAAGAGGCGGGGGGTCCAGGAATGTAAGTTATGTTTATTCAGATTTATTGAAAGTGGAACGTGGATGCTTTTGCGTTGACATATTGCAACAATATGGGCAGGACATGTTGGAGCCAGCAGCTTGCACTTGTTTCCTGAGAAAGGGGCAAAATGAAAGATCTGGTTTTCCAGGTAGGACATGCTGGAGGCCGTCAGGGAATGGAAGGGCCCACGAAAAGACAAATGCACCTTCGAGCATGTAAGTTGCATTTGCAGACGTCCCGCCCTGCCAACACCATGCTTGTGAGCTGAGCTATCCGCGCAGGGCGCAGCGAGGCTGTCACTGCGTGGCCAAGAAGCGGGCCAAGATTCGGTTTGTAGCTGTTTGAGAGGGCTGGCGCCCAAGCAGTGCATTGCTCGCACTTGCTTGTGAGCCAAGCAGTCAGGGCAGGGTGCACCCGGGCCGCGCGTCGCGAGACCGCATATCTCAATTGGACCGCCCTGCGGCCATCAAGCAGCCGGCATTTGTAGCTTCCACACAGATCCAATGACCAGTCACGAGCGTAGCTTGCGAGAGTTTCAGATTCAGGTTGGTTCCAATTAGCTGTTGAAATGGACTAATCGGACACGGACCCCCAGCAATTTGCTGTTAGGGCTTTGAATTGATTGCTTGCGGTTACGCAGCAATGATCAATGTAAGGACCATCCCAGCGAGCTACTTAAACGAGCCTCGTCGTTTGTTGGTCACACCAGCCTGCCTAAAGCGGGTGCCTCAACAGTCTGCCGTTAGGGGCGTTAGGGTGGTTTTCTTGCGAGTAGTTGTTTCAGAGGGCTGGCGCCCAAGCAGTGCATTGCTCACACATGCTTGTGAGCTGAGCAGTCAGGGTAGCAGGGTGCACCGGGGCAGCTCGTGCGACTGCAAATCCGCCCTAGCAGGCTGCCGGCCATCAAGCGTAGACTCAGTTACCAAGGACAAGCCTAGCTTGCGAGATGTAATCACAGATTCAGTTTAGTTCCAATTGGCTGTTGAAGCGGGCGAATCAGGCGCGGAGCGCAATCAGTTTGCCGTTGGGGCTTTGAATTGATTGCTTGCGATTTCGCTGCGGTGACCAATGTAAGGACCATCCCAGCGAGCTACTTGAAAGAGCCTCATCGTTTATTGGTCGCACCAGCCTGCCTAAAAGCGAGCCGTCAAGCATGCGATTCGGTTTGGTTCCAAGTAGCCGTGCACAAGGGCAGTCAAACAGGGTCCCTCAGCAGGTTGCCACTAGGGCCGTCATAGTAGGGCTTGAGATTGATGGATCGCTTGCGATTTCACTGCACTGCGAGATACTTGCAGCGCGAACCCTGACCGTGGGGGCCGCGTGAACAACGTTGGCCATGCCAGCCCGAAAGGGGGCAATCACGCTTGGGGCAAGCGTGTCTAATGGCTGGATTGCCGTCCGAGCTGCGCAAGGAATGTGCGCACAAGTAAAGGGCCTTCCAAAAGGAAACCTCGCAGAGGTCACCAATGATCTTCGGAAGCATATGGACGATTTTGGTGGGAGGGTCCCTTCTTGCAGACATGCCGCTTCAGTTTGGAGTCTTGGGCTTTGCGCAACGCATACTTCCTGGGATCTCTAAGCTGTGTTTTGTGTAGTATGAATATGAAGAAGGTGGTGCAATTGCTGTGTGATCCCTGCTGCTTCCTTTGGCCTAAAGTACTCAGTGAAAATTGTAGTTTGCGGGAGAACGCCCGCTCCACTACTCGCAACTGGCAAATCAGGACAGAGCAGCATGCGGGGTGCAAAAAAGGCGTTTCTCAAATTTAAAAACTCCTCCAGGCGGTTGGTTTCCGAATGGAAACTGTGTTTTGAGACTGCCTGGAAGGGCCCGGAAGATGTGGGGGAATTTGTCCGCCACTTGCAATGAACCATTTTGTCACTGCTCATGCGAAGTACTTCTCAGAAATTTGTCCACGTCAATGTGTAGGAAGCGAGCCATCAGGCTCAACTGGTGTGCCGAATGCTTTGCGGCATGTATAGCTGACACGGCTTGATCTTGATCTGTTTGCGTTGTGAGGGCACTGAGGTCGCTGTTGCGGCTGGAAGAACCTAGAGATTATGGGCTTGGCTGCTTGGCCGCCCCCCAACCTCATCAGCCCAGTCTGAGAGCAGCTGAGGGTAAATGCGATGTGTAGCCCGGCGCAAAGTTTGGTATACCATCAGCGCACGTCCCAGCGTGCGGGTGTGCCACAGCTCTGCTTGCGTTGCCCAAGTAACAGGCAGAGGGCGCTTCGGATTGTTTCGGTGCGTTGCAAGCAGTTGGACATAGATGAAGCATGGCTTTTTTTGGCTGAGCCGACGCCGCTTGGGCTTCGATGGGAATGCTGTGCAGGCTGGCTGATGTTGGAGGTCGATGTGAAGACCTTGCCTTTGGTTTCACACTTGCATTCTGGATGCAAGCCCACCGTAGATGCACGCAGGCCAGAGTGTTTCAAGTGTCCTTCCCCACAAGCCTCCTATCAGGCTCAGGCTCATGATCCGCAATGCGCTTAGGGATGCATGCTTGCCAGTCAGACACGGTTATAAGAGTCGCCTGGCAAATGCCAGAAGTTCTTCCGGCGTTCATCCTTGCAGCTATTTGCCACAACTGATTTCCAAGTCTTTGCCTTGGCGAACGCTGCCGGCGGCCAGAACAGTTCCGACCCACCGTGGAGGCGGCGTGGCTGACGTGCCTTTGTGAGCGTGGCCCTGGGTGTTTCCAAGGCTGCAAGCGCAATCCCTGCGCCTCGCTGCCCTTGGCAGTTTGCGCCTAGCAATCCAGCTTGCGTGCGGCAAAGCGTTACAGAAGTCTGCGCAATTTCCTGTGACCATGATTCTTGCGATGATTGCTTGTCTTCCAGGCTGCGCGAGACGGTGCATGTTCCTGACATGGCTTCCCGCGGGGCCAGAGGGATATTCTTCGACTCGCAATTCAGTGGGTTCCTGTCCCTCCAAGATTTGCCCCTTAGATGTTTGCATCCAAAGCGAGCGCAGTGTCGGAGGCCCGATTGCTTTCAAAGGGGCATCGCAAATCAGGGCAAGTCCTGCAGTGCCCGTGGCAAAGCCCGATGTTCGAAGAAGGTTCAAAGAATAGCTGTTTCAGGCGTGCAAAGACAAGTTCCCCTTTTCAATGGCCGGGAGCGACAAGCTGCTTTAAAGACAGGATTGCCTGATCGTTTTGCAATAGCTTCCTTATTCTAGCCCTGTGCCAGCAGTGCAGTTCAGTTCAGTTTAGGTAGCACGCCTAGCCTGAAACTTGCGACGACCTGAGCCGAAGTAGCCGTTATCGTCGTCCCTTGGCGCAGGGCAAGGCTGGCGCCCAATGGGAGATCGAAAGACGATCATCTTAGCGATGCGCAGCTCATGTGCCTGATGGCGAATTTGTCGTGACCCAAAACTGGAACCCAACCCACGACTGGCAACATTTGTTGTGCTAAAAGGCATCGAATGGAGTTTGCGGGGCGTGTGTCCTCTCAAAGTTTGGTCTCTTGTTTCATTTTTTTGAGATGGTCTTTGAACTTGACTCGAACATGACCTAATTCAGGAGTTTCCCTTTCGGCCAGCTGTTCGAGGGAAACCAAGATGGCCTTTACAGATTGGCCGCAGACTAAGGGTTACTTTCTGGTCAGAGGGTTGCTGGTGCACACCATTTTGGTGTGGTGCTTTTCACATATTTGGTAGTTCCAGAGTTGGCGATTGGACCTGACTGGACCGGGACATGGCATTTGACATAGTTGCCGTGGTTGCTGCGGGCTTGACGGGGGCCCGGCTGTGGCAAGGGGAAGTGGACTGCCACGAAGAGCGAATTAGGGCAAGCAAGAGGGGCAAACCAAAAGTAGCGTGCTTGGGGACTGCTAATGAGTCAGAACACGTGTCTCATTTAGGGCTGACTTTGGAGGAAGGACCGAAGGTCAGAGGCTGTATATATACCCCCCTGCCGCTTTTGTTTTGCGGGAAGTCAAAACAAACAGAAGCACCAGGTTTCTATTTATGCCAAGATGTGAATCTTCCCTCAGCGCCCCCACTCATGTCATCGCGGGAAGGTGCAACCCACTCCAATGCTATCTTTTTTCGGGGGACGCTCTCTCATTGGTTGGAAGACCACAACAAGATTCGAGATGTCCATGGGAAAAGCTAGCCGCCGCCATTTCGTCATTTGGGGGCCGAACGGAATGTTGATCAACCCAATTATACTTCTGACTGTCGCTGCTGCGAATTCCGAATGCCGCCGTATGTCATGGCAGCCTTTGTCCATCACTCTCCGTGTGATGTGTCCATCCACCCATGCGTGGCACCATGCCAGCCCTTCCCGGCGGATGTTTGCGCCATGTCTACCATCATCCAGCAATTCCTCGTAAGCCGTTTGCATCTGCGACCATGGCTCGCTGTCAAACCTGCAGTGATCACCATCACCTTTGTCGACGCAGCCCTGTGGCGGGAGAATGATGCCTGAAGCTATGTCCAGTGCCTGGCGCTCCAGCTGTCCGTTCTAGCCGTCCTCAAAGTAGCCGCGCCAGACTGCGAGTAAACATGCCGCCCAAGAAGTCTGCCACACGAACCTGGAATTGTTTGCCCGCTTGGCGTGTGGAGGCAAGCAGAAAGCTCAGTGACCAACGTCAGGCATAGCTTGAGAGCCCTCTAGATTCAGTTCCGCTGCACTGCTGGATTACCCACGCGTGCTCTTGAGCCGAGCGGCCAGCGCAGTATAGCGCGCGCCGGCCGCAGTGGCGGATGCATGACCATAAGTCAACCCGAGGTATTTGCCGGTGTGCGGCAATGGCCTCGTGTTTTAAAAGCCGGCCATCATGCTGCATAGCTGAAGAGCTCTTGAGTTCTTGGGGTGAGGACTTGGAATTGGTTGTGGCTGCGACTGTGGGTATTGCTGCGTTGCTGACGCACGGTTGGTCGGCTGCAAAGTCATTGTGAGGACCACCAGGTGACCACGGAAGCAGGGTATTTGTTGGTTTGCAGCCATAGCCGTGTTTGAAATGCCGGTCATCAAGCTGGAAGCTTGACACCTGGAGCCAACCTTTTGCTTAACATGTCCAGCACCCAATGCGTAAGTTTTTGGGGCAATGAGGACTTGGAACTGAGTGGCTGTGGGCTGAGCCAACAGTACAAGGACCGACAGAAGGGCAGTTGCAGCTGCATAATTGGTGTGAGGACCCGGGTAGGGTATTTGGCGGACTGCAGCCATTTCAAAGTGGGCCGGCAAGCTGGAGCCAAGAATATCTCGGGATGTCATGGAGCTAACCTTTTGCTTTAAGCTGTTCATGCCATGAGGACTTGGAATAGACTGTGGCTATGGGTACTGCTGTGTTGTTCGAACCGTCAGCACAGCAGGGCACAATTCAGCCACAACGGCGTTTGCGCGACGGGGGTTCTTGTCGGTGTGCAGCCACCCGAGCAGGCTGGATTCAAGCGTGGCTTGAGATGTCTTGACTTGGCGCCCATGTCATTCGCAACCGGTCCAGTGACCAGGGGCTTGAGAGCTCTGTAGATTCAGTCTAGTTTCAAGTAGCTCCTTAACCAACTAAAGGGGCCATCCGACATTTCTCCAAGCAGGTTTGGGCTTGAATTCCAACACCGCCGTTGCGACTTGCTGGCTTGACACCTTTTGGAGCGTGCGCAACAGGTGTGGGCGACAAGGGCTGTGTGAAAGCTGCCTGGAAAGCTCAAGACGGCCAGACACGGTGCCCAAGCAGTCAGGACTTGCAATTGGTGGCCAGACTTGTGAGCTAAGCTGTGGGTCACAGCGGGGCACACTGCGTGACCAACGCGGCGCTTCGTACTGCAGCCGCGCTAGTGCTTGCGAGGTGCTGCATTGCTCGCTCACGCTCGCCCGCTGATGAGGTAGGGCGCAGGGGGGGTCGCTGAGGCGCCGCTCAGAGGCTGCAGTGCCAGCTGCATGACCAATGTGAGGACCAACTCAGGGTATTTCTTGTTTTGCAGCCGTGGCATATGGCGACCAAAGGGCAAGCTCAAGGCAAGCGCAGATTGAGATCTCTTGCGCTGGTCCTGCCAGGGACATAGCTTGAGAGCTCTGCAGGTGTTGTTTCTTTGATGTCAAGTAACTGTTTGCTCTGTATCCGATGTGCCCACCCCCCCACAACTTGCCCTTGAGGTCGTGAAGGCTGCACTCCTGAATGCTTGTGAGCTAAGCCGGCGCCGCGCGCGGGGCCGCTCATGTGACCGCAGGAACTTGTCGGGCGGGCAGGCCGTGGGCAAGAGGAGCATTCGATTTCTTTGAGCCAACCGCCTTCACAGATGCGGACATGTCGCTACCAACTCTGCCGTCGATCGCCCTGAGCCATCAGGGTAGGGCGCACCGGGCCGCTGTGACGACTGCATATCCAACCGCCCTAGGCAGCCGGCAGCTTTGATTTCCTTTCGGGAAGGGGGCCAAAATGTAAGATTGGGTTCCCCAGGAAAGAAGTTGTGGAAGGCTGTCAGGGAATGCAAAGATCCAAGGGAGAGAAAAGTGCGCGTCAAGCTACAAGCCCCGAAGCAGGCTCAAAATAAAGTAGGGGTGGGTCGGACCCGAAAATAAGTCATGTATTTTAATTTAGTCCACCCCCTTTTTTGATGCGAAATCATTTTGGCCTCTCTGAAAATCCCTTCAAAGTTGGACTGAACTCATTTCAAATTAACATGAGTTGGACTCCCCTCGACTTTATTTTCATAGGAAATAAAATGAAGTACGTTTTGTCCAACTCGGACTATTCAAACCAACCCCCAACATGAGGTCAAAATAAATCGTGATTTTTCAATTTTATTTGCTGTCAGTGTTGGACTATTTCATTTTATTTTCCAACAAGGTTGGACTGACCCTATTTTATCTGATAAAATGGGGGGGGTCCAACCCTGTTTGGAACCTCTAACGGGGATAGCTACATTTTCAGACATCCCCCCTTTGAGAAGGGGCTGGGGAATGCGGCCGCTGCTTGTGAGCTGAGCTATCAGCTCAGGGCGTGCCGGGGAGGTGGTCACCGCTGCATGGCCAACGCCAGGACCATCCCAGCAGGATGGTTGGGCTGTACCCAAACCAAGAAGCCGGGCCATTTGGCTGGAGGCCAAACTCTGAGAGCTTCATAGATTCAGTTTAGTTCCAAGTAGCTCTTTCAGGGGCGCCCAAGCAGTAGTGACTTTCAGGCTTCAAATTGATTGCTTGCGATTTCGCTGCATGGCTGCATTTCTCGCAGATGGGCTGCTTTAACGATTGCATATCAAATTGGAGCACCGCCCTAGCAGGCCACCGGCCAAGCAGCTGGCAATGGCGGCTTCGACAGATCCAATCAGGGACAAACATCTGTAGTCAGAGAGCCTAAGCAGCCTGCCATACCATCAGGGGCTTTGAATTGATTGCGCGTGGGGTTTTGTGGGATCTCTTGCGTGGGATCACTCTGCTCAATGTCCATTCCCAGTCACAGCGAACTTGGCTCTCGCTCCCGAGCTTTCTCCTGCAGCCGTCTTTCAGCTTCCCGCTAAAGACGTTGCCTAGCCCAAGCCACACA